TCTCTCTCTCTCTCTCTCTCTCTCTCTCTCTCTCTCCTCTCTCTCTCCAAAGGGAATCTGTCAAATCCCAGAGCCACATTTTGGGTTTCAGAATTGTTTTTTCCACTTTTAAGTCAGTGTAGCATTCTGGAACATTTGGGATTTTTCTTTTTCTTTCCTCCAAAATTAATTTAAAATAACTCCCCAAACCAATAATCAGCCTTTAAGATCATCCTGCTTTGAGTTTTGTGGGAAGAGAAAGAGCCAGCAGAGTCACGAGAGGAGATGGCCCCTCCCTGGGCCTTCAGAATCCACATGGGCTCAGCAACCAGCAGGAGGAAGAAGAGAGCGTATGGGGAAGACAGGAATCCCATCTGAACAGGGGCCTTTTAAATGAGATCATTATGTATGCATATAACGCTCTCTGAGGCACAAGGTCTGCAGGAGAGTGATCCCCATTCTCTTGCCACAGGTCACTCTGCAAAGGAGTGGAGGGGGGACCCACACAGCTTGGCTCCACGTGCCAAGAGCAATTAGCCATGGGAGAGGAGGGCTCCTGTGGAGAGGCTGAGGCAGAACTGCTGCCAGGCAGAGTGGCCCAACTAGTCAGGGTCTCCAGGGGCTTCTTCAGGAGCTAAAGTCTAAAAATAACCCAGGCCTTTGTTGCAAGCTGCTGGACCATAGAGATGGAGCTGATTTCAGGGAAGTTGAGCATGCGTGAGGGTCCTGCTCACAGAGACCTGCCCTTTGGGCAATGATTTTTCCAGAAATGTGTCAGTTATTATGCTGTTACTGTGACTCAAAGACAGTCCAACCCACTCCAGCCCACGGGGCTCTCTTCCAACAGACAGAGTTCTTGGAATCTAGGCCTCCTTAACTCTTTCTTCTGGAAACTTCCTCTTTTAAAACAAGAGTCCAGCTCATATGGGGGAACTTAGGAGACAAGAAAGCCAGGGGTTCCAAATCCTTGCCACCTGGTCACAAATGATCACTTTACCCTAATCATCAGGTTAAGTAACTCATCTCTCCTCCGTCCTAAAATTTCCAGTCACATCTCAGTAGACAATGACAAATATACACTGCGTGGAAGGAAGATATTGCTTGGGAACAGGAATTCATAGTGTCATACCAATACTGAAGGGTTTCTCAAAGCTATAGTCTCTTGAATCCAACACTGGACCATTGAATGGGCAGTCTTTGCTCACCCAGCTGGTGCCCGAGTCTCACCAGGGGAAACTGAGCCAGGCCTAGACACTCAGCTTACTTGGAAGGCAGAGTCGTCAGCATTTTTCTGTGTCCATAGACTGTGGCTTGTCTTACCTCAAGGATGCCTTATCTCTAAAGGTCAAGGAACCAAAGTCTCTCCTAATGGACAACAAATACTCACTAGCGGGGCCTTCTTAATGTCTCCTCCCATCTCTCATGCCCTCCACCTCACTCCCCCGCAACCCGACCCCCCACCACCAAGAGGTAATGCAATGGATCAAGACCATCCTGGCTGTGGTTTCCACTGCTGAAGTTCTAGACAGCAAGTCCTTCTACTTCACAGAGACCAAGGAAACCAGGGGATTTTGAGGGTCCATCTTCAAGATGGCCTCCAAACAGAGAAATTTCCAATGTGGCTTATAATGAACAACTTCTCTACAATATTTTGTTCCTCCTGTGAGAGTTTAAGATAAGGATCCTAAGCTAGGGATGAGGATGACTGTGTGAAGATTTCTTGGAACACAATAGATAAAAAAAGAAAACACCAAACTACACACGAGTGATTGATGAGTGGTCATAAGATGGCTTCCACTAAAATGGGAAGCCAAGAGAGAGTTGCGGTGTGAGGGTGAGCGTGAGTAGGGTTCCGCAGGGCTGGGGCTGGGCTGTTCTTCAAAAGTGCAAGATCCTTCTGGCAGAAATAAGGAAGTGTTGGCAGAAGTAACACATGTGGGGTAGGAGCTAAGTAGAGACCTCGCCCTCTTGGTTCCACATGTCCATGCCCTTCTGTGATTATTCATTTTCCTTAGAGTTGGTCTGTGTAGCTATGCGAGAGGAGACCTCCATCTGGTTTGAACTGGGCTCCAGTTTAGCCTCTCCAGTGGCATGTCATATTACATGACTGGGGCCTCTAGGCCTGGCAGCCAAAGGCTGAGGCTTTCTCTTTGAGCAGTTCCCAGCATAAATGGCAGCTCCAGCTTCCTGCAAGAGACAAGACACATTAGTAGCAGCCCCTCTTCCACCTCTAGAGCCCCAGCCCAACAGTCCTAATTTCTAGTAACTCCTATTTTCCTTCGGCTTTCAGAGATCAAGGCTCAGTCCTAAGGACATGTGGAGTCCATGGCTCAGGGGAAAGTAAATACTTAGAGACTGTCAGCTGAACTGTTGTAAAGAACACTGTCCCCTAGTCACACCTCTGGGCCAGCATTAGAGGGTCTGGACTAGTTCCCTTAGAAGCATAGACCTCCTTGTTTTCTTAACCACACATCCGAGAAACAGCTCCTCAGCCCTCAAGTTGAAGTCGCAGCTGGTTGCACTGTGCCTCGGTTTTCTCATGTGTGGTTTCTTACGCCTACCTCATAGGGTTGTGATGATTAAATGACACAAGACATTAAAAGCCCTTAGCACAAGGTGTGCACCACAGTAAGGGCTCAGTAAGAAGTAGGTGTAGCTGTTGCTGTTACTGTTGACCTCATCATCATTACCTTCTGGGGGCTCAGCCACTGGGGGATTTAAACAGTACATGTGATAGCCACGGTCACAGTCATCACAGAAGAGTAGCTGGTCCTGAAAGAATGCAGAACAGGTAGAGAGGCAAAGAGAAAGATGTAATTACTTGGGGACAATATTTACCACCCCCCACTTATTCCTCTAGTCTTATTTATACAGAGCAACCTCTCCTGATGGACCCCACTTTCCAGGCCCATTTGGGGTCCTCACTGTCCCTTGAACATGGCTTATACTTTATACCTGAAATTCTCCAAGGCTTTGCTCAACTCATATCTCCTTTAAGAAGTCTTCCTTGGGATGGAGACTGGCTCAGGTTAAGAGCACTGATTGCTCTTGGCAGAAGACCTGGGTTTGATTCCCAGCACCCACATGACTGCAAACAACTTTCCATAACTCCAGTTCTGGGGAATCCGATGCCCTTTTCTGATAATCCACGGGTATCGCACAACATGGGTACACTTACATACATGCAGGCAATACACTCATATACACAAAATAAAAGTAAAAATAAAAAAAAGAAGTCTTACTTGACTACCTCATACCCATACCCAATCTTACAGGAATGCCTTGTCCATACGAACTCCCATAGTCAGTAAATTATGGATTTCTCTGTCCCTATGATGATGGCCTAATATGTGGAAAGTATATTAAGCATTTGAGGAAAGTATTCGTAGAATTTCTCTAGACTCTACTTTTCCTTCTGTGCAAAGTGTAACAGCTGGACTTGGTGGTAACATCCATGGCATCTCAGAATTTCTTCTGATTTCATGATATGAATGTCAAGAAAGCCTTCCTCCCAGCATGGGGGCTGGAGCCCAGGGGATATCAAGGTATTGGTTGGTTCTAGAAATGGAAGACAGGAGGCTACCACAGCCACTCATGTGAGTGATAATGACAGGCTGAAGCAAGGCTGTGGAAGTGGGAAGACAGTCACCGATAGGTATAGTGAATGAGAAGGCAGGCTGTCTTCTGGGCTGTGGAAGAGTTAGTAAGCCAAGTAGTCCACCATCCACCGAGACATGGGCAGGAGAGTGACTGTGAGACAGGGGACAACCCCAGCTGAAGTATAGACTCATTCCACAGATCTGCGGGTTGCTAGGTAGGGATGACCTGGAGGTTGGAGATAAAGACATCGGTCTGGGCCCAAAATATGGGCTTGGAAGTCACAGGTGATTAGATGACAAACAAAGGTCAATCCCAGGGTGTATGACAGCAGATGTCTTTGAACTGGTACTCCATGAACCCCTTGAAATGATATGCACAATTTTGTATACAGGTAGAATCTTTTTTTCTGCGAAGAGTGGCTCCATGGCTTTCATTGAATTTTCTGGAAGACCAAGGACCCCCCAAAGAAAGCCAAGAACACATACTTTGAGAATATCAACTTTAAGGGACAGGCAAGAGCAAAGAGACTAAGAAGCAGTCAGGGAAGGGGATGAAAACCAGCGAACCAAAGCTGACTCCCCAAAGGTGCATCATTCCATCAGAGCTGAAGTAATAAGATAGGGACAAAAATGGTGGGGGAGGGCTTATCAGAAGTGGACCATGGTGAGAAGACTCTAATGTCCCATCATCACTTGTGACTCATCCCCTGACTCCTGCTAAGGCTCTGTCCCATCAACAACAAAACTCTGTGCTAACTCTATCGGTAAAGCCAAAGTGCACAATCAACCCAAATGCCTGCCAACAAGGGATCATCAGAATAAAACGAAGGAAGAACCATGGAACCATAAGCAGGAATGAAGAATGTGGCTGTCAATTAATATGGAATAATTTCTAAGCTATTCAAAGAAAAAAGGAATTGAGTGGAAAAAACATGCCCTTCTCTTTTACTTATGAATTCATATGTATAACACACACACTTACATTTAAACAAAGTATAAAGAGAAACCTTACACTTTTTGAAGCAGCCACACGTAAGTTGAGTAAGAGAGTTAACACAGGACTAGGCAAGAATGGAAGCTGGATTTTCTTGAATATGTCATTTCTTTCTAGATTTGTTTCTAGAACTATTATGCAAAATTAAAATTATAATATATCCCAAAAAGACAAACATTGTAAGTGAATATAATTATGTGTTCAGGTAGTGACACAACCACACACAAAAACTATTTCAGGTAACATTAAAACAAAAGCTCTGACTATGCTTCCTTAGGACATATTTTCTGTTTGCTTACAATTTTGATTTTGTTTTGATCCAGGGTCTCACTATGTAGCCCAGGCTGGCTCTACCTCCAGAGTGCCCAGCTGGTAGAATATATCTTAATGACAAATATAAATGCAAATATGCATTTTTTTCATCAATTATATTGTGGGTGATAATATTGGAATTGGTTGTCTGAGACCAAATGATGTATACCAAATGAGTGATTTTGATTGAGAAGCAAAATTTCACATGCCTAAGGAATATACTGGTATAAAAATCAATAAGTTAAAGTAAAAACTTTGTAGTTAGTTCTGGATATGAGTTACAAGTATTTATATAAATTCATGGTGTGTTTTATCTTTTAAATAAATAAAATATGTTCTAGTTCTGCCACTAAAAATATTCTGAAACAATGACAAAAGCACTGAAAATTAGGCCCTTTAGACCAGTAGTCTTTGGAGAGATAGTTGATTTCAGGTCTGGCATGTGAAGTGTGCAGCTACCTTTCTGTGTCAGAAAGAAGGCTACCCAAGGCTCTTAGACCATGTGGAAGGATTTGGGCTCCAGTCTGAATATTCCCACAGGCCAAAGATAAGAGAACTTTAATCCATTGAAACAGATAAAATATACTTAAATCCTTCAGTTTGTAAAGATAGTATTTTTTAAAATATTTTATTATTTTTATTTTATGTGTATGAGTATATTGCCTGCATGTATGTGAGTGCACCTGTGTCGTGCAATGCTGCGGAGGTCAGAAGAGGGTGTTGGATTCCCCTGGAACTAGAGTTAAGGACGGCTCATAGCTGCCATGTGGGTGCTGGGAATCGAACCCAGGTCCTCAGCAAGTCAGTGCTCTTAACCACTAAGCCATCTCTCTGGCCCTGTAAAGATAGTATTTTTAAGACAGTCTCTTTGGAAGATGTCATGGAAATAGGACATTTTTATTTTATTTTATTATGTTGAAACCATTTTATACTTAGAGAAAAGTTGCAGAAATGATACAGACTTTCTGTAGTCCCTGATCCAGCTTACCCTAATATTAACATCTTACATTGCCATAGCAGAATCCTGGAGCTGGAAATTACCATCGGTATAATTAGCTAGTCTACCGAAAAGACTCATTTTCTCAGTTGTCTTTCCTTTCCCCCTTTTCCAGGATTCCTAATCTAGGCTCCTATACAGCATTTACTTCCTTTTGTCTGTTTGTTGAGGTTTTTGTCGTTGTTGTTGTTACTTTTATTTATTTATGGGGGATGCATAACAGAGCACACATGTGCAAGTCAGAGGACAACTTTCAGGAGTCACTTCTCTTTTTTAATATTTTATTTGTTTTTTTCTCGGGGGGGATAGGGTCTCCCGGTAGCCCCAGCTGACCTAGAACTCATTATGTAGACCAGGCTGGCCTCGATCTCACAGAGATCTGCCTGCTTCTGTCTCCCTAGTGGTGGGATTAAAGGCATGCACTACCACAACCGGCTTATTTGTTTTTATTTTATGTGAATGAGTGTATTGCCCGCACGTATGTAAGTGCACCTGTGTTGTGCAGTGCCCATGAAGGTCAGAAGATGGTGTCAGATTCCCTGGAACTGGAGTTACTGACAGTGCTAGGAACCCACATGGGTGCTAGGAATTGAATCCACGTCCTCTGCAAGAGCAACCAGTGCTCTTAACCGATGAGCCAGCTCTCCAGCCCCAGGAATCAGTTCTCTTATCCCACCATGTGTGATAGAACTCCAGTCTTCAGGCTTGGCAGCAAGTACCTTTACCTCTGAGGTTTCTTGCTGGCCTTGTTTATTTGTTTTTTGAGACAAGGTTTCATGTAGCCCAGGCTGGCCTCAAACTCTCTATGTAGCCAAGGACAACCTTGAACTCCTGACGCCCACCTCCCAGGTACTAAGATCACAGGTGTGTGAGACACCACAACTGGTTTGTATGGTAGTAGGGATCAAACACAGAGCTCTGTGCATACTAGGCAAGCACTTTACCAGCTGAGGTACACTCCAGCTCTACTTGTGTTTTCTTCTGTCCTTCAATCTGACAGTTCCACAGTTTGTGTTTCGTGGCCTTGATTTTTTTTTTAATTAAGGTTTTGTTCTTTGACAATTTCTTACATATATGACCCCCAACCTCTCTCATTCCTCTCCCACCCTTGCCAACTCTCTTTCTTCCTCACAAATCTCTTTCCATATTTATGGCTTTTGTTTTGTGATCCTCAGTGTTTAACTGGGGCCATCTGTGTGACCCTGAGTTTGGAATGTACCATCAGAGTCTAGATACTATACTTCTCCACTCCCAGAATCTTTTAGTTGCCAATAGTTCGGCAGTAAGTAAGTAGTAGGACCCCACAAGCCCCTTCCCCATCCAGAGCTGACTGTTAGGAAGGTCTGGCTTATATAGGCACAGCTGCTATGGATACATGATTACCATGGCTGTGTTGTGCTTAGAAGACAGCACTTCACAGCCCTTCTCCCTCCCTATCTTCAGTTCTCACATTCTTTCCACCCCTCTTCCGCAATGTTCCCTGAGCCTCAAGGGAGTGATAAAATGTCTTTTTTGAGGACTGAGCCCTCAACTATCGTTTATCCTCAGCATCTCGTACAGCCCTGGATCTCTATAGTCACCTCTGTTCACTACAAGGAGAGAGGTCTCTCTGATTAAGGCTGAGAGCAGCCTTTGTCTATGGGTGTAAATACAGAGCTTCAGAAAGTAGTTTGATGTTGTTACAGCCTTGACACTTTTGAAGAGTGCAGGGTGGGGATTTTATATACTCGATTTTGGCTGGATTTTTTTTTATCATAAGAAGACTGAGGGATGCACACATCTTTGGCAAGAATACCACTAAAGTCACACCGTGCCCCTCTCAGTATGTCATATCAGGAAGTGTCACTGAACCGGTATGCCTGATTACATT